ATCCTAGGTCACAAATCAGGTCTCAGCCAGTACCAAAAGATTGGGATCATTCCCTGCATATTTTCAGACCACAATGCTTTGAAACTAGAACTCAATCTCAAGAGGAAAGTTGGAAAGAACTCAAATACGTGGAGGCTAAAGAGCATCTTACTAAAGAATGAATGGGTCAACCAGGAAATTAAAGAAGAATTAAAAAAATTCATGGAAACAAATGAAAATGAAAACACAACTATTCAAAATCTTTGGGATGCAACAAAGGCAGTCCTAAGAGGAAAGTATATAGCAATACAAGCCATTCTCAAGAAACAAGAAAGGTCTCAAATACACAACCTAACGCTACACCTAAAGGAGCTGGAGAAAGAATAGCAAATAAAACCTAAACCCAGCAGGAGAAGAGAAATAATAAAGATCAGAGCAGAAATCAATGAAATAGAAACCAAAAGAACAGTAGAACAGATCAACGAAACTAGGAGCTGGTTCTTTGAAAGAATTAACAAGACTGATAAACCCCAGGCCAGACTTATCAAAAAGAAAAGAGAAATGACCCAAATCAACAAAATCATGAATGAAAGAGGAGAGATCACAACCAACACCAAAGAAATACAAACAATTATAAGAACATATTAGGAGCAACTATATGGCAGCAAATTAGATAATCTGGAAGAAATGGATGCATTCCTAGAGATGTATCAACTACCAAAACTGAACCAGGAAGAAATAGAAAACCTGAACAGACCTATAACCACTAAGGAAGTTGAAGCAGTCATCAAAAATTGCCCAACAAACAAAAGCCCAGGGCCAGATGGCTTCCCAGGGGAATTCTACCAAACATTTCAAGAAGAATTAATACCTATTCTTCTGAAACTGTTCCAAAAAATAGAAATGGAAGGAAAACTTCCAAACTCGTTTTATGAGGCCACCATTACCTTGATCCCAAAACCAGACAAAGACCCCATCAAAAAGGAGAATTACAGACCAATATCCTTGATGAACATGGATGCAAAAATTCTCACCAAAATACTAGCCATTAAGATCCAACAGTACATTAAAAGGATTATTCACCACGACCAAGTGGGATTTATCCCTGGGCTGCAAGGTTGGTTCAACATCCGCAAATCAATCAACGTGATACAGTACATTAAGAAAAGAAAGAACAAGAACCATATGATCCTCTCAATAGATACAGAAAAAGCATTTGACAAAATACGGCATCCTTTCTTGATCAAAACTCTTCAGAGTATAGGGATAGAGGGTACATACCTCAGTATCATAAAAGCCATCTATGGAAAACCCACAGCGAATATCATTCTCAATGGAGAATGGGGAAAAACTGAGAGCTTTCCCCTAAGGTCAGGAGCACGGCAGGGATGTCCACTATCACCACTGCTATTCAACATAGCATTAGAGGTCCTAGCCACAGCAATCAGACAACAAAAAGAAATAAAAGGCATCCAAATCGGCAAAGAAGTCAAACTCTCACTCTTTGCAGATGATCTGATACTTTATGTGGAAAACCCAAAAGACTCCACCCCAAAACTGCTAGAACTCACACAGAATTCAGTAAAGTGGCAGGATATAAAATCAACGCACAGAAATCAGTGGCATTCCTATACACCAACAACAAGACAGAAGAAAGACAAATTAAGGAGTCAATCCCATGTACAATTGCACCCAAAACCATAAAATACCTAGGAATAAATCTAACCAAAGAGGCAAAGAATCTGTACTCAGAAAACTATAAAATACTCATGAGAGAAATTGAGGAGGACACAAAGAAATGGAAAAACGTTCCATGCTCATGGATTGGAAGAACAAATATTGTGAAGATGTCAGTGCTACCTAGAGCAATCTACACATTCAGTGCAATCCCCATCAAAATACCATCCACTTTTTTCAAAGAAATGGAACAAATAATCCTAAATTTTGTATGGAACCAGAAAAGACCCCGCATAGCCAGAGGAATGTTGAAAAAGCAAAGCAAAGCTTGGTGGCATCACAGTTCCAGACTTCAAGCTCTATTACAAAGCTGTCATCATCAAGACAGTATGGTACTGGCACAAAAACAGACACAGAGATCAATGGAACAGAACAGAGAGCCCAGAAATGGACCCTCAACTCTATGGTCAACTTATCTTTGACAAAGCAGGAAAGAATGTCCAATGGAAAAAAGACAGTCTCTTCAACAAATGGTGTTGGGAAAATTGGACAGCCACATGCAGAAGAATGAAACTGGACCATTTCCTTACACCACACACAAAAATAGACTCAAAATGGTTGGAAGACCTAAATGTGAGACAGGATTCCATCAAAATCCTTGAGGAGAACACAGGCAACAACCTCTTCGACCTCAGCCGCAGCAACTTCTTCCTAGAAACATCGCCAAAGGCAAGGGAAGCAAGGGCAAAAATGAACTATTGGGACTTCATCAAGATAAAAAACTTTTTGCACAGCAAAGGAAACAGTCAACAAAACCAAAAGACAACCGACAGAATGGGAGATGATATTTGCAAATGACATATCAGATAAAGGGCTGGTATCCAAAATCTATAAAGAACTCACCAAACTCAACACCCAAAGAACAAATGATCCAATCAAGAAATGGGCAGAAGACATGAACAGACATTTTTCCAAAGAAGACATCCAAATGGCCAACAGACACATGAAAAAGTGCTCAACATCGCTCGGCATCAGGGAAATCCAAGTCAAAACCTCAATGAGATACCACCTCACACCAGTCAGAATGGCTAAAATTAACAAGTCATGAAATGACAGATGTTGGCGGGGATGCCGAGAAAGGAGAACCCTCCTACACTGTTGGTGGGAATGCAAGCTGGTGCAGCCACTCTGGAAAACAGTATGGAGATTCCTCAAAAAGTTGAAAACAGAGCTACCCTACGACCCAGCAATTGCACTACTGGGTATTTACCCCAAAGATACAAATGTAGGGATCCGAAGGGGTATGTGCACCCCGATGTTTATAGCAGCAATGTCCACAATAGCCAAACTATGGAAAGAGCCAAGATGTCCATCGACAGATGAATGGATAAAGAAGATGTGGTATATATATACAATGGAATATTATGCATCCATCAAAAGGAACGAATCTTGCCATTTGCAACGATGTGGATAGAACTGGAAGGTATTATGCTGAGCGAAATAAGTCAATCAGAGAAAGACATGTATCATATGACCTCACTGATACGAGGAAATCTTAATCTCAGGAAACAAACTGAGGGTTGCTGGAGTGGTGGGGGGTGGAAGGGATGGGATGGCTGGGTGATAGACATTGGGGAGGGTATGTGCTATGGTGAGTGCTATGAATTGTGCAAGACTGTTGAATCACAGACCTGTACCTCTGAAACAAAGAATACATTATATGTTAAAAAAAAAAGAAGATAGTAGGAAGGGAGAAATGAAGGGGGGGAAATCGGTGGGGGAGATGAACCATGAGAGACTATGGACTCTAAGAAACAGAGTGTTCTAGAGGGGTAGGGGGTGGGTGAATGGGTTAGCCTGGTGATGGGTATTAAAGAGGGCATCTACTGAATGGAGCACTAGGTGTTATACACAAGAAATGAATCATGGAACCGACATCAAAAACTAATGATGTAATGTATGGTGATTAACATAACATAGTAAAATAAAAAAATAGAAATAAAAAATAAAAAAGGAAATGAAAGTTACAGAATTGTTGAATCACTATATTGTACATGTGAAACAATATAACAGTGTATGTTAACTATACTGGAATTAAAAACTTTTTATTTATTTTTTTAAGATTTTATTTATTTATTTATTTGAGAGAGAGCATGTGCACACGAGCTGGGAGGGGGGTGGGCAGGCAGAGAGAGAGGAAGAAGCCAGACTCCTCTGTGCAGGGATCCCAGTGCAGGGCTGGATCCCAGGACCCCGAGATCATGACCTGAGCTGAAGGCAGATGTTTAACTGACTGAGCCACCCAGGCACCCCTTAAATAAAAAGCTTTTTAAAAAAAGGAATGAGAGTAATTGACTCATCCCATCAGGTGGAATAAGCTGATTAGAATCTGGTTTAAGAAGTGCCATATATATAAAGGTAAAAATGAAATCTTAAAATACTAAGAGTGGGATGATAGAGCTAGGAGTTGCTTTCCATTTATCATTCTTGCATGAAACTGGTATGTAGTAACATACTAAATTGGCTTATGTATTTTTTAGAAAATATTTATTTGTTTGAGAGAGAGCATGAGAGCGAGCATGAGTGGCGGGGAGGGGCAGAGGGAAAGGAGAATCACACTCCCTGCTGAGCAGGGAGCCCATCATCAGGCTCAACCCCAGGACCCTGGGATCATGACCTGAACCAAAGGCAGATGCCCAACTGACTGAGCCACCCAGGTGCCCCTGTGTATTTTTTTTTTTTTAAAGATTTAATTTGTTTATTTGAGAGGGAGAGAGCGTGGGCACATCAGAGTGGGTGGAGGGGCAGAGAGAGAGAATCTTAAGCAGATTCCACCCTGAGCTCGGAGTCCATCATGGGGCTCGATCTCACAACCCTGAGATTATGACCTGAGCTGAAATCAAGAGTTGGACATTTAACCGAGTGAGCCACCCAGGCGCCCCTTGGCTTGTGTATTTTAGCATGTCAGTTTAGTCTTTTTGTTCTTTTAAAACTAAGATTTTCCATAAAAATCTTCCCTTTAAAAAAAAAAATCTCTAAACTAGGACCTGTTAAGCCTTGTGTTCAGGAAAGATTAATATCCCATAATGACTGTCTGACTTTTTTAAGTGGCTTATAACCATTAGCTTGTTTCCAATAGTAGGCATCTTAATCCCTTGAGTTTTTATAGCACAACTTTTTTTTTTCTCAGATTTAAGTTTTGTTTTTTTTTTTTAGTAATCTCTATTCCCAGTGTGGGGCTCGAACTCATGACCCGGAGCTCTTTCAACTGAGCCAACCAAGCTCCCCTGCAGCACAACTTTGGTATTATTTATTAAAATAGGTTTTTCTTTTACTGTCTTCAGCATTCACCAGCACAGGCTTTGATCGTCATACTTCTCCTGTGTTCAGCCCTGCTAACCCAGAAAGCTCCGTGGAAGACTGCTTGGCTCATCTTGGGGGAAAAGTATCACAGGAACTGAAAGAGCCTCTACAAAAGGCATTGCAAATGCTCCTCAGCCAGTGAGTTACCATTGCTGAGTGGGAACATGCTTCTCTAAGTAGTCTCTGAATCTGTCATGCAGCACTGGATTGGTTAAGGCTTTGTTTTAGGTGAATGGTGTCACTTCTTTTCTCACTTTACTTTTTCTTTCTTTGCTTTCCTGAAGCATCTCTGTTTGTGTTTTGAATGACAACTTTCACATCAAAGTGGTGATTTAACTGTTCTGACATGGATTTGATCATTTGTGTTTACTTGTTGAGCTGTCAGGTTTCAACAGATGCTTTCACTGCTCTGTAAGTGTAAATACGAGCTATTTCACTTGTCCTGACCACTTTTTACTACCATTCTGTCTGGGGGCCAACATAAATATAATGGTTAGGGTTTTATGCATTGTAACGTGGGGTTAACATCATATCAGTATTTTAGGTATCCCAAATGTTGCTAAACTGCGGTTGCACATCTGTCCATGGAAGTGCTGCCACATTCTTATAGTGGGAACTTCTGTACTAACCATGGTTTTGACTGTTAAAGCTCAAGGCAAGAAGCTCGCAATGAAAGTATATTAAAATAGAACCAAGTCATTTATTGTACATCTTAAAAATTCTTTTCCTCTAATTTGCTGAGAATCATTAAAGAATTGGTATGAATTAGAAAAACATTGTTTTAATGAAGAATGACATCTAAAACAGGATGAAGACTGTTTCTTCACTAAAAAGGTTAAAATTCAGATGCCAGATTACTGGTGTAGTAAGCTAATTCCTTATTTCCACATAGGCAAAAATTGTATGTTATCATTTGTCAGAAGGAAGCAGTTGGAGTTTAAGGAGAATTCAGTTTGTTTCCGCATATTCTGGTAACATGAGCAAATGTAAAAAATCCAAGTTATGTATAGGATACTGAAATGAAAATCATATTTGGACTTTCTTAACTTTATATATAGAAAAGTTTAAAAAGAAATGTGAAGAGGGCGCCTGGGTGGCTCAGTTCGTTAAGCAACTGCCTTCGGCTCAGGTCATGATCCTGGAGTCCCGGGATCGAGTCCCGCATCGGGCTCCCTGCTCGGTGAGGAGCCTGCTTCTCCCTCTGACCCTCCCCCCTCTCATGTGCTCTCTCTCATTCTTGCTCTCTCAAATAAATAAATAAATCTTTAAAAAATAAATAAATAAATAGAAATGTGAAGAGAAGATTATGGGTGTCAGAGCATAAAAGTTAAATAGGAAATTTGGGTGTACAGTGGTGGCTTTTAGAATGTTCTGTGGAGCTTAGGGGTCCTGAGAACGTGAGGGACAGGGTGAATGGGTGGGGCTTGTTAGGCCTTTGCCAACCCTTCTTAAACTAAAATAGCCATATATATATATATTTAAAGATTTTATTTATTTATTTGAGAGAGAGAGAGTACACATGAGAGGGGCGAGGGTCAGAGGGAGAAGCAGACTCCCTGCTAAGCAGGGAGCCCGATGTGGGACTCCAGGTTCATGACCTGAGCTGAAGGCAGTCGCTTAAACAACTGAGCCACCCAGGCACCCCATAGAATAGCTATATTTTCATACATTTTTAAATGTAAGATTTGAAGAAACCTACTGTTTTGACAAAAACAAAAACAAAAACTGTAAAAGCTATTGGGACTGGAAGTAAAATAACTGAGATTAGAAGGCAAAAAATTCTGTCTCCAACTTTGATACAAACTATTTGTGGCTTTACGCAAACCATTTCATTCTATATCTAAATTTCCCCATCTAGGGGCGCCTGGAAAAAAGGCACCTTTGAAAAAAAAAGAATAAATTTCCCCATCTATTAATTTTAACTTTACTGGGATATTATAAGCTCTCTGAAGAACAGTATCGTATAGGTAAAGTATTTTTTTGGCATACTTTTCATAATATACAGGAAAAATTGATATCTTCTCCCTGCAAAGTAAATTTTTTTTTTTTTAATATTTTGTTTGACAGAGAGAGGCACAGCAAGAGAGGGAACACAAGCAGGGGGAGTGGGAGAGGGAGAAGCAGGCCTCCCACGGAACAGGGAGCCCGATGTGGGGCTCGATCCCAGGACCCTGGGATCTTGACCTGAGTTGAAGGCAGACGCCTAATGACTGAGCCACCCAGGCGCCCCTCACTGCAAAGTAAATTGTATTTAAAAATATATAGTCAGGTGAATACTTGGTGGTTTTTTTTCCCCAAACCCTGAATACTGATGTAATTATTTCTTATTTTTATTTTTATTTATTTATTTAAATATTTCATTTTTAAGTAATTTCTATACCTATAGTGGGGCTTGTACTCACAACCCCAAGATCAAGAGTCATATACTCCACCGACTGAGCCATCCGGGTGCTTCTGACATACTTACTTACTTACTTACTTACTTACTTACTTACTTACTTATTTATTTATTTGACAGAGAGAGACACAGCAAGAGAGGGAACACAAGCAGGGGGAGTGGGAGAGGGAGAAGCAGGCTTCCCGCGGAGCAGGGAGCCCGATGCAGGGCTGGATCCCAGGACCCTGGGATCATGACCTGAGCCGAAGGCAGACGCTTAATGACTGAGCCACCCAGGCGCCCCCTGACATAATTATTTTTTAAATTGGTACCTCTGGTTGTATATCAGAGTCAGGCCTCTTTATGAATAAATTTTTTTTTTTAAGATTTTATTTATTTATTCGACAGAGAGAGACACAGCGAGAGAGGGAACACAAGCAGGGGGAGTGGGAGAAGGAGAAGCAGGCTTCCCACCGAGCAGGGAGCCCAATATGGGGCTCGATCCCAGGACCCTGGGATCATGACCTGAGCCGAAGGCAGACACTTAACGACAGAGCCACCCAGGCACCCCAATAAATTTTTTTTTTAGTAATCTACTTTTTAAAGTTGTTAAGCTCTGTTACTAATAGCTAACTGATGATGAACTGGAAGTATTATACAGGTTGATGGGAATAATTTGTAAAGTGGAAAATACCACCTACTTCTTGAGACAGTTTAGTTCAAGTGGGAAATTAACCTGTACTCTTCGTATAGCCAAGCACCAGCAGTGTGAAAAGGTTTTCCCTGCCCCTTTTTCTTCTTTGCTCTGTTCAGATACCTCATTAGATAGGGCTGATTTTCAGCTACTTGCTTTTCTATGTATTAGATTTCCTTTGAATGCTGGATCTTTTATGTGCATATATGTGTGTACATATAATGATTCAAATCATGTTTCATTCTGAAGGATGCTAAAGTACTTTAGCCTGATAGACAAACTACCAATAAGGACTACTGTGACCCACAGCAGCATCAAACAGTTCAGGAAAGGAAGTGAAGGGACTGATAGACTCAAGTAAACTTGAGGGAGAATATAGGTAGGTAGACTGTATAGTATCTGAAGTTCAGGTTTTATAATTACCTACTATTCAGCCCAAGGCTTCTAAAAAATTCTAAGCTTACTTTAATGGTCATACAATATCAGGAAGGTAGCACATAACATCTTCTTAAAAAGGCCATCCCATGTAACCTTCCTCCTTTCAGCATCACTATGGTATTGATTTTATATTGACTTGTGTAAAAGAATGATACCTGTGTCATCAGAACTGGTTTCTGAAGTATGTAGACCAGCACTGTACAACAGATAAAATGCAAGTCATAAAATGCAATTTAAAATTTCCCAGCAACCACATTAAAAATTAAGATTTTAAAATTTATTTTATTCAACCCAGGATATTAAAAATTTATAGTTTTAACAGGTACTCAATATAAAAATATTAATGAGCTATTTTACATTTTTTTTCTTACTAAGTCTTAGAAATCTAGTGTGTATATTATGCTTTCAGCATATCACTAGCTGCATTTCAAATGACCATTAGCCACATGTGGCATTGAGGCATTATTGTGGCATGTTTCAAAATCCTAATTTAAAAAGAAGTAGTGTGGCCTTTGGACCCAGATCTAGTTGGGTGTGAATTCCTGCATTGCTGGTTGCCAGCTATGTGGATTTTGGATAGTCTCTTAGCTTTTCTGAGCTTCAGTTTCCTAATGTGTAAAATGATAGTATGTAATATAAAATATAAATATATAAAAATATAAAACTGAACAGTAGGCTACTGATAAGTGGTAGCTGTCCTTAATTACTAAATTTCATGGGCTGAAGAGCTCACAGACCCAAGTCAGAGCAGAAAATGCCTTTGGAATGGATTTTGAAATCCTATAAAAGCAAGACTTCTCCCCTTTTTTACATATATGTTAATACTTTGCCCACAAAAATAGGGGGGTAAATTTTATTAAATCTGATATTCAGGCTGTTGATGCTTTCAGATGCTACTTGGTACCAAGTATTTTTTGTTGGTTGTTAATTTGTACATGAAACCAAGTCTTACACATAGTAACTAAAGTCTGTCAGTAAATTAGTGAGTGTTGTTGTCATCACTCAGTGATTTCAGTTTTGGTATGACTAGAACTTACATGGAAATAATCAAAAAGACTTATCTCTGCCCTCCAGGATTTTATATCATAAGACTCCAAGTTAAAAATAGAGCTCCGTTTACTGGCCTTGTTTAGTCCAACTCTTTATATCCTCAATTTGAGAGGTCTTTCAGTGACATGTTTCTTTAATTTTGAAATGTTTTAAGTTTTTTGCCTTTTAAAAAAGTTAAAATTGTGCTTTTAATAATGAGATCATTTTTGTTACTATTTTATCTTATTTTAATAACCCAAGTGTATGTTTATCTGCAACATGGAAATCCTGTTGGATGAGTTTCAAACAATTATTTTAAAAGTGTTATTTATTATTATCTTGTTATGTTATTAGCTGCTTTCCCAAGCTGATAGCATGCCTCTCAGCCAATAGGGAATACTTGAAGTAAATGCATACCAAATGTTAAAAGCCACATCTCATACAAAACAGTATATTGAATATTCTTTGGTACTTTGGCAAAAAGTTCAACACAGAATAGTGACTGTATATTTATTCATCTGGAAATTTAGAATTTTACTTCTTTGTGACCCAGACTTTTAAAAAAAAATCTCTACAGGCCAGTGACATATCAGGCATATCGGGAATGTACACTGGAGACCACAGTTCATGCCAGCGGCTGGAATAAGGTATTAACCAAATTATCTTTTCTCTTATAAGATTTTAGTGCGTTGATTAAAGTGCAGGAGAAATTGTTGACATCATATAAGAGAAAACTGTTAGAGCTCATTATTTAATGCATAAATCCAATTGTGTTAAGTGGATGTTTTTGATTAAAGTGGTTTTTTGATTAATGCTGTGAGATTCTGGTTGGCCCAAAAATATATGTCCCATAGTATGCCATTCTTCCTTCTTATCTCTTCTGAACTTTCTATCATTTCTTCACTTCTCTGTATTAGACATGACATTTATCTCCAGATGGTTATTTGTTACCCTGTGTGTATGTCTTGGGGTGTAAAAGAATAAGAGCTTCATTTGGGAGACCGCTTCTTCTGGTTTTCTCTCTCTCTCTTTTTTTTTTTTTGTTCTTCTGGTTCTCTTAAATGAGTAATACCATTTGTGTTTTATAGTTTACAAGGTATCTGATGTCACATCTCATTGGATCATTACAACCATCCTTTGCAGAAGACAGAATGGATTTTATTAGCTTTTGCTTTGTTATTTATTTAGTTAGATCAGGTGAATAATCAGAAAAAAGTTAAGTGACTTGTCCAGGACCCCTTGACTAGGAAATATTGGAACCAACGCTAGAGCTGAGATCTCAGATCTTCTGATTCCAGCTTTAGTGTTTTTTTCCACTGTACCATACTGCTTACCCATGATCTCAGACTGTATTATCCATTTATCACCTTGAAAAGGCGGAAAGTCTAAGGAAATGTAGTATGGGAGGATTCAGCTCAATATGAGGAAGAAGTGTGGCCCTTAGGATCTTGTGTAGGAATGAGAAAATTCAGTAGAATCATTTTTATAAATAGCCACCTCTACTCTGAATTGATTTTTTTTTTAAAGATTTTGTTTATTTATTTGAGAGAGAGAGAATGAGAGGGGGGAGGGTCAGAGGGAGAAGCAGACTCCCCGCCGAGCAGGGAGCCCGATGCGGGACTCGATCCAGGGACTCCAGGATCATGACCTGAGCCGAAGGCAGTCGCTCAACCAACTGAGCCACGCAGGCGCCCCTGAATTGATTTCTTTTTAAGTTTTCATTTTATCCAACAATTCCATACATCCCTTGGTATTCATCATGACAAATGCACTCCTTAATCTGCATCACCTATTTAACCCATCCCCCCATCCCTTGCCCTCTACTCAGAACTGTTAATAGTATGAGTCAGACCGTGTGACCTTACGTACCTAATTGATGTATATTTTTTTAGTCACTTAATACAGGCTTTGGAAGCATTATAGCATAATAATTAGCATCATAGTCTTTGTAATTGGACTTGTTTCAAATACCAGCTTTGCCACAGACTAGATGCATGTCTTTGGACAGTTCATTAACCTCTCTAAATCTTAATTTTCTTTTCTAAGTTTTGTTTAAATAATCTGTACACCAAACATGGGGCTCTAACTAATGACCCTGAGATCAAAAGTAGTACACTCTTCTAACTGAGCCAGCCAGGCGCCTCTCTAAATCTTCATTCTCACATATGTGAAATGGATCTAGTAATACTAACCTCATAAATTTTACTAGACTTAAACGACATAATATAGGTTAAATGCTTTTTTAGCACATTGCTTGGCACCATAGTAAGCACTCAGTAAACAGTAGCTATTACATTAGATTTAACACATGAAAACTTGTTCCAAAATAGTCACCATTATGGGGTTTTACTATGTTATTTAGTTGCAAAAAAACTTATTTAAAAAGTTTATTTCATTTCCTTTCTTGGAATAAAAAAAACCTTTTATTTGGATATTTGAAATACATTTATTTATTTTATAAATAAGAATGAGTTTGGTTATGATATATTTCTTAGTATGTCAAACAACACATGTTTAGGTACCTAATATTACTAGCTTTCTTCCCCTATTTTATGTTCTCTTCCTTTCCCTCTTGTCCAATGACTGTTAATAATCAACTCTTGTATGTTCTCCTCCCGTTGATCCTCGGGTTGTCCTAAAAAAAAAAAAATCTGAATTAAACCCCAGACTTCACTGTCTCTCTTCACCTGTCTGATTTTTCCATTGTCTGCTTCATTTTAGTCCTTCAGCTGGACAAAGAGCCAAGGCTGTGGCTTGAATAAATACTTCATATAAATAAGCCATGCCAGTTAGAGTATTACTTGCTCTGCTGAATCCAGTATTACTCCCTTACTAAATCCTCTAGGGCTAAAAAGAATATGGTTGTCTGGTAGGTAATTGAGGCTCAAATGAAACACGCATCAGAGAAAAGAGAAAAAAAGTATCCACAGAGCATGCCACATTAGGGATAAACCGAATACCTGTTTATCTGTATAGGGATTCTGAAAGCATCTTGGTAGAATACTCTATATCAAAAGAAGTGGAGGAAAAAAGCTGGTCACAAACCTGTATTAGTAGTATGGTCCTTTAAAAAAAGAGAAGTCCAAAAAAAAAGGTCCATGTATAAGTGTAGGTATGTATATGCCTAGAAAAACAATTGAAATATGTGCGAAAACATTAAATAATACATAGTAATTATCTCCAAATTGTGGGTTCTTTTCTTTCTTCCCCTGTCCCCACGTGGGTGTTATTTTTTCCTATGTACTTCTCTGCTTCTATGAAAAAAAAAAGAAAATGATCATCAAAGAGAAAAAGCCATGAAATGCTTACCTTTGCCTTTTCTTGGGGGTGTAGACCCTGCCAGAAATGTAATTACGCTCAAGTACATTAATTGAAGGCACTGTGCATGCAATTGGACTGCTGATATAATTACGTTATCTGCAGAATTCCATAACTGCTCACGACACATTAATAATCACTGTATTTTTTCACCCTGATAAAAACAATTATTTTGATGATGTTCTGGTACTGTAAATGGTGTGCAGAGACACACCACACTTTACATCTTACTGTCCTCTATTTTTCTCACCCTCCTTATATCCTTTTTGTTAAAATAAACACTGTAGGGGTGCCTGGCTGGCTCAGTCAGTAGATCATGTGACTCTTAATCTCAGGGTTGTGGGTTTGGGCCCCATGTTTGGTGCAGAGATTACTTAAAAATAAAATTTTTTTTTTTTTTAAGATTTTATTTATTTATTTGACAGAGAGAGACACAGCGAGAGAGGGAACACAAGCAGGGGGAGCGGGAGAGGGAGAAGCAGACTCCCCGCTGAGCAGGGAGCCCGATGCGGGGCTCGATCCCAGGACCCCGGGATCATGACCCGAGCTGAAGGCAGACGCTTAATGACTGAGCCACCCAGGCGTCCCAAAAATAAAATCTTTTAAAAAACAATAATAGAATAAAATAAACATTGTAACTGGAAAAAGAGAGCCAGCTATAGTGTTAGTATATGCTGTTCAAAGTGTAATAAATAAACTTTAGAAAAATAATAGCAAAAATAAATGAATTGTCTTGGGTAATTTTTAGTGACATATTGAATCACTAATATTTTTAAATCTTTATTAAAATTTGAAGCATACACAAAAGCACAGCGAATAGTATAGCAAATCCCATGTATCTTGTCACTCAGCTTCAGTAATTATCAACATATGGCTGGTCTTGTTTCCTCTATTTCCCACTCTCCCCCAGATTATTTTGAAGTAGGCTCTAGACATCATTTGATTCATAAATACATTAGTATGTATTTTTAAGGATGATGTAGCCCCCTTTTTTTGGATGTATCTCTTTTTTTAACCAACTGATAATACCACTATTATACTTATACCTCAAAATATTTTTTTTTTTTTTTTTTAAAGATTTTATTTATTTATTTGACAGAGAGAGACACAGCGAGAGAGGGAACACAAGCAGGGGGAGTGGGAGAGGGAGAAGCAGGCTTCCCGCTGAGCAGGGAGCCTGATGCGGGGCTCGATCCCAGGACTCTGGGATCATGGCCTGAGCCGAAGGCAGATGCTTAACGACTGAGCCACCCAGGCGCCCCTATACCTCAAAATATTAACAGTAATTCTATCATCATATAATCTGTTGAGTATTCAGATTTTTCCAATTGTCTCACAAAGGTATTTCTCTAAGATGATTTGTTTGAATTGTGATGCAAGCAAGGTCCATGCATTGCATTTGGCTGATAAGTCTCTTGTCTTTACTTTTTTTAAAAAATTGAAATATAATGCATACCATAAAATTTATATTTACCTTTCTAAAGCATACAGTTCAGTGGTTCACATTCACATAGTTATGCAGCCATCTCCATTGTCTAATTCCAGAACATTTTTATCTTCCCATAAAGAAACACCACACCTTGTAGTAGTCACTCTCCATTTCCTGTTCCTCTAAGCCCCTAACAACATTACTCTGTCTCTTTAAATTTGCCTATTCTGGGCATTTCATATAAATGCAATCATGTAATATGTGTCTTGAGTCTCTTTTAATATGTAGGCTTTCTCTCTCTCTCTCTCTCTTGATTTTTTCTTTGCTTACAAGTTATTTCTTCTGTAAAATTTCCTACTTTCTGGATTTTTTTGACTGTATCACTGAGATGTCACTTAACATAGTCCTCTGTATCTATATTTCCTTTCCATTGGTAGGTAGATCTAGAAGCCTAATCATAGTCAGGTTTAATCTTTTTGGCAAGAATACTTCATTGGTGATGTTCCTTATTTCCTGTTGCATCACACTGGGTGATACATAATGCCTGGTTTTCACTTAAATTTTATTTTGAAGCACATAGGTCAAACATTCAAACCTCATCAATACAGATAAAATTTGTGGGCTATGACATTTACTAGAATTGTTAAGTTATAAATTGGTTACTAAATAGTAACTTGATGGATCAAAATATGTATTTTATCATTACAAATATCTATTCTACTGGAAGAGATCCTTGGAGCTATAAATTAATATACTTCATTTCTGTACCCAGCAAGCTGTACATTCTTTAATAATAAGATAATATTGTTAGCATGGTACCTATGGGGAGACAGTGAATGGAGGTATTCCTTTTTGATGGTCAAAATTACCTTAGCATTCCTTTACGAAAGTTATTGGAGAGAAAAATAATTTATATGTGTTGTGGGGATTACTATTATCCAGTAAGGCAATGACTTAGAGGAATTCAAAGAGTAAGACTATTTGGTTCCTTTTTAGTCTTAGAGATATGAATAGTGGGGACCTTCTAGGAATGGATGCTTGGGGATCCAGGTTTTTTGGGGGTTTTTTTTAAGCTTTTTTTTTTAGGACTGTGGGAGAGGGAGTGCAAAAAAATATCAGGTATAAGGTGATAATTTCTTGTGGGTAGTACACTGCCAAGTTGATGAACTTGGTTGTAGAAATAACTTAAGAGGCTTTGTGTGTGATCACAAAAATTAGAGGGTAAGTGGGTTTAACTATATAAAGACAGTCTAAATTATACTTAAAAGGTAGTGGGCCTGGAAGTCATCATATAGGTCTCTGAAGACAGGATGTCAAATAGGTAAAAGAGACAGAGCATGTATCATCAAGAATATTACAGTTAGAATTTGTTAGTCCTATAAAGTGAAGTTTCTGTACTCTGGACACTGCATTTCAAGAAAGATATAATTGGGATGGAGAAGAACTGGGAAGGGGTAATCTAAATGATTAAAGCAGTGAAGGAATTGCCAGATGAAGAACAGTCTAAAAGATTAGTAAATTTCAGCCTAAAAAGTATAGTGAATGAGAGGGAATATGATTAAGGACTCAAGACAGTAGTGAAAGGGGATTACAGATTTATCTCCAGATAATTATATAGTAAAACTAGGGCATCTACTTTTTGATACATGAAAGAGATAAATTTGGAACAAATAAAAATAAGTATTATTTTGTATAGCAAATATAAAGGGTTTGCAACTCATTTCCCTAAGAGGTAATAGAGCTTAAACATGAATAACTTTAAAATATTGCATATTATTAGATTATTATGGGAAATTAGAATGTTTTGAGGTATAGAACATCTCAGGCCTTTGAAGTTATGGTGATCGGAGTCAATAGGACTGATCAACAAGCTATACCTGACCTGACTGCTTCTTACTAAGAATACTGGAGCTAGATGAACAATAGGTTTTGGGGGTGGGTTTTTTTGTTTGTTTGTTTTTGTTTTTAATAGTATGACAGGTTTTCTAATTGTGAAGAAAACCTAGTATATTCTTCTTTATAGCCTTAGACCCCTCCATTAGTGTTAGGAAGGGGTTTTTAAATAAATTTTGGGCTGGAGTTCTTTTACAATATCAAAAAGGGAAGATATGTGTTAGTTGCATTCTTTCTTTCAGACTTTGATATAGATTCCCTCAGGACTGCTTTTACTTAAAAGCCAAAGAGTATTAGTAAGACTATAAACTCATTGTCTTTTCTGTTTGTCCTTTTCTGCAGAAATATTTTGTAATCCCTCAGTTATTACCTTGGCATTTCAGTAACAAGGGACTGAAATTGGTTTCATTTCCTTTTGCATTCCTTTTCCAGGCATGTGGAGTCCTCTTGATGGTTTAGACTAAAGAGATTGCATGCAGATGGTTGATTGAAAATGCTTTTAATTCTTTTCAATGTGCAGTTAGTTGTTTTTGGAAGGCAAGGGACTCTCGTATGCCTCTGTCAAAAATTTTGACGGTTTTTAAATATTGAGCCACAAGTTATTAGGAACGATAATAATACCTCCTTAGGGTTTTTTTGTTTTGTTTTGTTTTTAGATTTTATTTATTTATTTGAGAGAAAGACAGAGAGCACAAGCAGAGGGAGAAACAGAGGGAGAGGGAGAGGGACAAGCAGACTCCCTGCTGAGCAGGGAGCCTGACATGGGGCTCCATCCCAGGACCCTGAGATCATGACCTGAGTGGAAGTCAGACACTTAACCGACTGAGCCAGCTAGGTCCCCCCTATTTAGGTTTTTGATGACTTTCTAAGATAGCTGATAATTTTAAAAATGCTCATTTTCAAATATGATATAAAAAGCACATGGTACAAAATGCAGTAAGTACAGAAATGTATACATTGAAAACTATTTTCCCACCCTGTTGCCATTACTTCATTCTCTTCTTAGGCTACCACTATTACCAGTTTTTGTATATTTTTCCAGAGATACTATAGGATTATACAAACATATATATATGTGTGTGTATGTGTATGTATGTGTATTTTAAACACAAATGGTACCATACACTGTCCTGTCACTTTTCTCACTGAAAATAAGTCCTGGTGATTGGGCAGTGAACAATCTAATTATTATTATTATTTTTTAAAGATTTTATTTATTTATTTGACAGAGAGAGAGACAGCAAGAGAGGGAACACAAGCAGGGGGAGTGGGAGAGGGAGAAGCAGGCTTCCCCGCGGAGCAGGGAGCCCGATGCGGGGCTCGATCCCAGGACCCTGGGATCATGACCTGAGCTGAAGGCAGACGCGTAACGACTGAGCCACTCAGCCGCCCCCAATCTAATTCTTTTTAACAACTACATGATATTTTGCCAAAATTGATTTAACCAGTCCCTGGTGGGTTGTTTCTAGTCTTTTGCTATTATAAATAATATTTCAGTGAATTCTCTGTACATGTTTCATATACACACATACACACAAGCCCAACTGTTTTCATAAAATAATTATTTCTACCACCCTATGGTATACAATCTACATGCATTATTCACAGACATTCTAGTAAGGGGTCAGTGTTTTATTCCTTTATTATAATAAAAATGAGATTCCATGATGCATCCAAGTTGTAATTTTCTAGTAGTTGAACATATAAAATGAATTATAAGAATTTCAGTTTGTTTTTTACTCTCATCTTTGCCTTGAAGATTTTGGTGCCTCTGATTTTGCTACAACAAATGCTTTTGGAGTTGACAAGACGTGGTCAAGAGCCTCTGAGTGCATTGCTACAGTTTGGTGTGACATATCTGGAGGACTATGCAGCAGAGTACATCACTCAACAAGGTGGCTGGGTATGAGCTGTTAAGTATTTTTTTTTTTTAATCTTTAAAAAAAGGTTAAGCTTCTCATTGTGGTTGTTTTTAGCAACATAGGTTTAATATGAATATTATCATTTAATATTATTTAACATTAATTGCATGAAGATCAGGGGCAAACTATTCATATGGTTTCACTATAAGATCTTACTTTCAGTAAATTGATAGGTGGTGTTTTTAAATCGTTCTTTTAAGTAGTTCTAATTATGAAATATTTTATACTAACAAAAAATATTTAAATAATTAAGGGATGAGGAATAATAAAATGAATGCCTATGTATTTGCCATACCAGTTGAAGAAAAGAACGGACGATACTTTTGAATTTTTTTATATGCCCCTCCTGGATTTCAGCATGCTCTTATCTACTTCACAAGGATAACTCCTATTCTGAATTCTGTTTTTTTATTATAGTTTAATCATACATATATATGTATCTCTAAACAATTACATTATTTTGTATGTTTTGAACTTCATGTGAATAATATACTATATGTATTCTTCTAAACTTGCTTTTTTTTTACTCTATGTTGTATTCTTGAGACTCTCCGCAGTCATTGTTTCTCAATTTTCTTTTTTTTATTATCACTCGAAGGATCCTTTTTATTTATTAATTTTTTAGGATCCTTTTTAGGCATTTTTATCCTAATCATCTCCTTCCTTCCCCATGAAATTTTAATACTACAGATAGAAGTCTATTTTTTTTTAAAAGATTTTATTTACTTATTTGAGAGAGAGAGAATTAGAGAGAGAGAGCACATGGGGGGGGGAGGGTCAGAGAGCGAAGCAGACTCCCTGCTGAGCAGGGAGCCTGATGCGGGACTTGATCCCGGGACTCCAGGATCATGACCTGAGCCGAAGGCAGTCGCTTAACCAACTGAGCCACCCAGGAGCCCCAGATAGAAGTCTGTTTATGTACTGTTGCCCTTTGAAGGGCCACAGGTGATTGTAATATCTAAGATTTCCCCCATCTTTTTTTTTTTTTTTTTAAGATTTTGTTTATTTATTTGAGAGAGAGAGAGAGAATGAGAGAGAGCACATGAGAAGGGGGAGGGTCAGAGGGAGAAGCAGACTCCCTGCCGAGCAGGGAGCCCAATGTGGGACTCAATCCAGGGACTCCAGGATCATGACCTGAGCCGAAGGCAGTCGCTTAACCAACTGAGCCACCCAGGTGCCCCAGATTTCCCCCATCTTGCCAAACCTATTTTCACCCCCTAAATCATCCAATGATCTCGGTTGATGTATTGGTTGGTGTTTGGTATTCCATTGTGTAGATACATAACAATCTATTTCTCTATAATCTTATCATTAGACATTTCCATCTTTTTGCTATTACAAACATTGCTGTTATGAACAGTTTTATACATATGTTTCTCTGGTTATATACTTGGGAGTAGAATTTCTGGGTCCAAGGGTATAGACATTTTCAATTTACAAGATAATACCAAAGTGTTTTCCAAAGTGGTTTTCCAACTTATATTCTGTCAGCAATATATAAAAATTTTTGTTGTTCTTCATCTTCCCCAATACTTAATATTGTCAGACTTATTAATTTTTAAAATCATTTATTAAAATAAGATTATTTTGTAATAAGTTTAGATTTACAAAAATGTTATAAAGTATTCCTGCATACTGTTCACCCAGTTTTCCCTAGTGTTAACATCTTACACAGCTATGCTACTCTTACCAAATTGACTTTTCTGTATTGATTTCATAGCCAGCAAATTTGTTAAACTCTCTTATTATCCTGATTATTTATCTCTGGATTTGTTGTGTTTTTTTTTCTTTTTTTTTTAATTATTATTTTTTAAAGATTTTATTCACTAATTTATTTATTTGAGAGAGAGAGAACGTGCGTGACCCCGGGGGAGGGTGGGTCGCAGAGACAGAATCTCAAGCAGACTCCACACCAACTGTGGGCCTGACTCGTGGCTTAATCTCACGACCCATGAGATCATGACCTGAGCCAAAACCAAGAGTTGGACGCTTTACCGACTGAGCCACCCCACCTTCCTTAAGGTTTTTCTCAATTATTTTTATTTATTTGAGCATGTGAGTGGGGGGCGGGGCAGAGGGAGAGAATCTTCCAGGAGACTCCCCCCTGAGTGCTGAGCCTGACACAGGGCTCGATTTCACGACCCATGAGATCATGACCTGAGATGAAACCAAGAGTTGGTTGCTCAACTGACTGAGCCATTCAGGCGCCCCCCCTTTGGGTTTTCTACGCAGAAAATTATACGGTCTGGGAATAATGATAAAATTGTTCCTTAATAACTCTATCTTTTTAACTTTAAAAACTGAAAAAAAAAATCAGGATCTTTCAGTACACTATTAATGGAATTGGTGTTAGAAGACATCCTTGTCTTTTTCCTGATGTTAAAATGAGTGCTTTTAATTATTTCACCATTTAGTTGTATCAATCTCAATGAGTGAGGTTGGACTGTAATTTTTCTTGTTTGGTTTCAGTTTTAAGGGTATGTTGGCTTCATAAAAGAATCCAGAGTTGGGAAGAGTGTTTCCTTTTTTTCTATACTCTGGAATAGTTTATATGAGGTTTAAATTATTGTGCCTTGCTTCCTATAACATGCATGTAAAATCACCTGGTGTTTTCTTTGAGGGAAGTTTTCTGGTTTTTCCTGTCAACTTTTTTTTTTTTAAGATTTTTATTTATTTATTTGACAGAGAGAGAGAGGCCGCAAGAGAGGAGCACAAGGAGGGGGAGTGGAAGAGGGAGAAGCAGGCTTCCCGCTGAGCAGGGAGCCTGATGTGGGGTTTGATCCCAGGACCCTGGGATAATGACCTGAGCTGAAGGCAGACACTTAATGACTGAGCCACCCAGGCGCCCCAACTTTTTTTTTTAATTTAATTAATTAATTAATTAAATTTTATTTTAAAAATATTTTTATTTATTTATTTAACAGAGAGAGAGAGCACAAGCAGGCAGTGCGGCAGACAGAGGGAGAGGGAGAAGCAGGCTCTCCACCGAGCAGGGAGCCCGATGCGGGACTCGATCCCAGACCCTGGGATCATGATCTGAGCCGAAGGCAGCCGCTTAACCGACTGAGCCACCCAGGCGCCCCTAATTTTATTTTTAAGAAGGCTCCATGTCCAGCGTGGAGCCCAACATGGGGCTTGAGCTCACGACCCTGAGTTTGAGACCTGAGCTGAAATCAAGAGTTGGACACTTAACTGACTGAGCTACCCAGGCACCTCTTTCTTGTCAACTTTTGATAATTTTCCTGGATATTATCCCTAAATTTTCTGAATTGTTGGTGTAGACCTATTCATTATACCCTTTTATTTTTATTCTTTTGGAGGAGAGTGCAATGGATTTTTATATCTTAATTCTCTCATATACTATTTACTTTTAAACATTTTGTTTTGGAGAATTTTGAACATGTATGAAAATAGGTAAGATAGTATAATGACTCCCATCACTCAGCTAACAGTCACTAATTCATTGCCAATTATGCTTTATTCACACCCTAGTCATGTCCCTTCTTAATACTATTTTGAAGCAAAATCCAGGCATTACATGATTTTATCTAGAAAAATTTCAGTATGGGGGCTCCTGGGTGGCTCAGTAGGTTGGGTATCTGTCTTTGGCTCAAGTCATGATCCCAGGGTCCTGGGATCAAGTCCCACATTGGGCTCCCCCTGCTCATGCTCACTCTTTGCTATCCCTCTCTCTCTTTCAAATAAATAAATAAAATCTTTAAAAAAATTTTAGTATGTTGGGTGGTGGGTGGGGGGATGGGTGAAATAGGTGAAGAGGATTAAGAGTACACTTATGAGCACTGAGTACTATATAAAATTGAGTCACTATATTGTACACCTTAAACTAATACAACACTGTATGTTCAGTATACTGGAATTTAAAAAATTTTTCAGGGCGCCTGGTGGCTCAGTTGGTTGAGCGTCTGATTCGATCTGAGGTTGGGTGTTGATCTCGGGGTTGTGGGTTTAGGCCCCACACTGGCCTCCATACTGAGCATGGAGCCTACTTAAAAGTTAAAAACAAAATTTTTTTTTCAGTATGTATCTCTTTTTTTTTTTAAGAGTTTATTTATTTATTTGAGAGAGAGAGCACATGAGAGGGGGGAGGGTCAGAGGGAGAAGCAGACTCCCTGCCAAGCAGGGAGCCCGATGCGGGACTCGATCCCGGGACTCCAGGATCATGACCTGAGCCGAAGGCAGTCGCCCAACCAACTGAGCCACCCAGGCGCCCTCAGTATGTATCTCTAAAAAATAAAGGTTTTCATTATTTTTATTTATTTATTTCACAGAGAGAGAAAGAGAGCACAAGCAGGGGGAGTGGCAGGCAGAGGGAGAAGCAGGCTCCCCCCTGAGCAAGGAACCAGATGTGGGTCTCAATCCCAGGACCCTGGGATCATGACCTGAGCCGAAGGCAGACGCTTAACTGACTGAGCCATGCAGGTGTCCTTGTTTTCTTTATTTTATTTATTTATTTATTTATTTTTAAAGATTTTATTTATTTATTTGACAGAGAGAGAGCACAAGCAGGCAGAGCAGCAGGCAGAGGGAGAGGGAGAAGCAGGTTCCCCGCCAAGCGGGGAGCCTGATGTGGGGCTCGATCCCAGGACCCCGGGATCATGACCTGAGCCAAAGGCAGACGCTTAACCGACTGAGCCACCCAGGTGCCCCGGTTTTCTTTATTTTTAATCACACTACCATTATCACATCAAAAATTTTAAAATGATTTCTTCATATCCTCAAATATCCTATTAGCATTCAAATTTCTAAATGTCTCAAAAATATCCTCTCTTTTGGATGTGAGGGTGATCTGGCTGTGACAGCTGTCACCCCACTGATTGCCAGGTTTGATTTGACTGATCTGGCTGGCTAGGTGGGTGTCCCTTCCTCTTTCACCCTCCATGTGTGTCCCTCCTGAGGCTCTGCGCTTGGTTGAAGAACACGACCTTCCCCAATAGAGGAGGACTGTTCTTCCATCAAGGGT